CTTAGGCGGGTCTGACTTTGATTAAATACTGAAGCATCAAAGCTTGGCAAGGAAGTCTCTGCTAACATTTTCCCCTTCGGTCCAGCTGCCTATTTTATTAATAATAGCACAGGTTTCCGGCTCCAGTGACAGATGGAGTGGGCCGCAGCGGACCTGAGGGGACAATCTGCAGGGATCACTGAGCATCTACCCCAGTCAGCCACTGGACAGCTGGGAGACCACGCTCACGGAAATGAGTAGGTAAGTCCTGGGCACCGACTAAACCCCAGGCTCTTGCGAAGTCCTTAAAAATATAACTAATTTAATCTTTGCAGGGACCCTGCAAATATTAAATATTTCTTATTAGCATGTGCTTGTAGTACACAACGATTGTATTTGTTGTGAGTTTGCTCTTGTACATAACCCATCTTAACTTTTTGTCCCCTTGTCTTTCTATCCCTTCCTGTTCCCTCCAGCACTAGGCCCTCTTTCCAATCTGCAAAACCTTATTTCCACTTTTTTTCTCCCGGGGATCGAACTCAGGACTTTGCGCTTGCCAGGCAGGTGCTTATGTCACTGAGCTACCTCTCTGGCCCTCTATTTACACTTTTTGCTTCAATTCTCACTCTTTTTAAATCCTCTTGGCAAATAAATAAATAAATAAATAAAATAAAATCCCCTTTGCCTTTCCTTTCTCTCCCCTCTCTTGTTCCTTTTCTAATTTGGAAAAGACCTTCCCAACTTACTATCATCTTTGATTTTGCTCTTTTTTTACATTTTGGGTTTCTCATACAAAACCATGACATATTTAAATTTGGGGTGTCTGATGGATTTCATTTAATATCATCTCAAGGTGCCTCCTGGACAAACACACTGCCAACATCATGTTAAACGGGGAGAAAAAAGCTTTTCTCTAAAATCAGGAACAAGACAAGGTTCTATGCTACCCCCATTCCTGTTTAATACAGTCCTTGGAATAGTAGCAACAGCAGTCAGGCAAGAGAAAGAAATACAGAACATATGCATAGAAAAGGAGGCAGTTGTAGGATAAATTATCTAAAAGCTGAGGGTAGGGGCCTGGGAGATGGCTCAGTAGAAGAAGCACTTGCCTGGCAAGTGCAAGGGCCTGAGTTCAATCCCTGGTTCTGAAAAAAAAAAAAAAAAAAAAAGCTGAGGGTGCTGTATTCAGAAAGGCTGAGAAATTGGCTGGGGTTGCACAGCAGATTGTTGTTAGTGGCCAGAACCGAGTCCAGCTTAAATGACCCCCAAACCTGTGTGTTTGTCACCCCATCCACCTGTGCTCCCCACAAGGGCTGTAGTGATGGTCACATGGCTATGACCATGAAGTCCTTTTGCTGCCAACCATGAGTTTTTACTATAAACCTCCAAATCACAGCTTGTTTTTCAGTTCATGCAGCTCCTGCCCAAGATAGATAGTTAACAAAACCCTCAAAGAAATAATAATAAAGAAAAGGCTGGACTCATGGTTCTGACTATGGGGACTTTTTCAGATGCTGAAAATAACAGCAGATTAGGTAGGCAAGTAACACGCGAGTTGGAAATTTTTAGTGTAACAAGAGCCGATTCTCCCCTCTCCTCTTGCTGAGACAGGCAGGACGACAGTGTCTACATGGAAGAAAATAGTAAGGAAGAGGGTGATGCTGCTGCACCCCAGAACCCCCAGGGAATGGCCCAGGAAGGAGCATAGGTGTGAGAGGAAGGCTGGATGAAGCAAGGAGGGCAGAGGTAAGAGGAGGGTGAGGAGCCCAGCGGCGCTTCTTGTATAGGCTGGGCACTTCCCTGTGGGTGTGACAATTTTACTCACAGACTACAAGCTGCCACCCTCCAGCCAGGGGACTCATCCTCAGGAGGTTCATACCCTGGATTCTGTGCTGTCTCGGGCACAGTGGCACTGGGGGAGGGGGAGCTGCGGCTAGACTCCACTTGGGTCCCCCTACCCTGTCCTGGTCTAGTTCCTACCAGCCTACTGCCAACTCTCAGCTTGCAAATTCTGCTTCTGTAGAAGACTACCACTGAAGCTGTTGCCTTTCAGAATCAGGAAGAAGGATCTGCTGACAGCTAACCCTCAGCACGGAGCAAGACAACAGGCTCACTTCACATGCGCAGGAGTCTGGCTAGTGAGCTGGTGCAGAGGTTACCGTGAGGATGGTGTCACTATAACAAGAGAAAGCTGGTGACAAGCCAGAATCAGCCTGTGGCTGCGTGGGATAGAAGTGGACATCTGAGGGCTGAGAACAGGACGAACCTCAAGCAGATAGTTGATGAGTTGGTAGACGCCATCTTGTTCCTTTAGCACTTCACAGGACCGAAGAAAGGCTAGCCAAGCCCCTAACACCTGAAAGACACTCCTCTTAGAAATTTGACAGAAGACATACTGTGAAAGACTCCAGTTATAACTCTGGTTTTCCCAAAAGCAGAGGAATAGACATATTGTATATAGTAGAATGAAGGCTTTAGAAATAGGTAAGTGAGGAGCAGGCCTGAACTCCACAGATCACCCAGCTTGCTCAAGCCTGGGCCTTGAGCATTGCCTGTCCCACGACAGTAGGCCTCATCCTTACCTCTGGGCAGCCATTTTGAAGGCATGTATCAAGGGTCACAAGTCTAAGGAGCAAAGTCATGCTTAAAGTATGGCCAGGCTGGGAAGAAGAGAGTCTTTGGATACAGTCATGCAGATCCATCACCACTACTTGGAAAACAGCCTAGAGCACCACGCTGTCTATGGCTTCCTGTTCCACGGAGAACAAAACACAGACACTCCTTGCCAAAGGCCTTGCGGCCCAACACGACGCCTCAGCTCCTGCCCAGCTCTCTCAGGTCATTTCCTCCTGGCTCACTGCGCTCCAGCAACACCCTGCAGCCTACCACTCCACCCTATCGTAGACCTCTGCACGAGGAGCTTCCTCAGCCTTCTCCCTCCTCTCCAAAGCTTGGCCACTTCAGAGATCAAAGGTGGTCCGAGGTCACCTTCTCAGAGGCCTTTCCTGACCACCCCAACTAGCATAGCCTCCAGTAACCTTCTATTATACCCTGTCTTTCCTTTCTGTCACTTGTCACTGTCCTATGTTGGTATTTGTTTACTTGTGTTTTAATTCTTCCGTCGGTGTCTGCAGTACACTATGTTCCCACTCCTTGTGTGGAGCAGGCACACACACACAACACACCTCCATTTCTGTTTCACTCCTTTTAACCTTGCCTTCCTTCCCTCCCTCCATCTCCTGGACCCTTCTCATTTGATAAAGATCTATCTCCTTACTTCCACTATCTATCTTTTATTGTGCTCTTTATAATTTGGGCTGCTTCCATAGAAAGAACCCAGGAGGTATTTATTTAAGCGTGTGCTTAGCAATTAACTTTCTCCCACAGATGGGAAACCACAAGGGCAGGGCCTCGACTCGTTCTCCACTGTACCCACCGAGCCCAGGACAAGTGGGACCTGCCAAGCAATGGGCACACTCCTGGAGGTCAGCAACCACCTCCATATACGTAGGAAGGCCTTCTTATGGATGAGGCATAACTTCTTAATATGTACATTATAGAACCACAGATACATGGTGTCCATATTTCATTGTGAGTTCCCTTAAAGAAGCTACTACATAAAATTGGATCCACGTGTTCTGGAGACGCTGTGACACACAGTCATCACATGCATGAGCTTTGATTTCTTTACTGCCTGCTACATGCTTCTGGTGACTTGCAGCAAAAGTGGTCAGCTGTCGGGTGACCCCAGGAAGGGCAGGACGGGAGTCCTGGGGAGGACATGGGTGTGCAGGTGGCTCCCTCTCTTTAAGCACGCAGAGGAGCTGCTCCTGCTGAACGCAGCATTGGTTTCGGTGCCTTTGGGGGCCTCTGTCTCTGAAATCAGTGCATGTCACTCAAATGGGAATTTTTTATTCTTGTTAAGATGCAGTTTCTGGTCCCTAGAGAGAGCCTGAATTCTATGTATTTAATAAGCCTTTCCCCAGATGGTGTGCATCCCCAGGAGACAGAGGGGCACCCTGTGAGGCGCGAATCTCTCAGACTGCAGAATCGGCCTCTGTGAAAGAAGCCCTTGGTGTGGTGCAGAGAGGAAGTACTACTCACAGGAGAGTGGTCCCCAGGAGAAAGCAGCTTAGAAAAGCTGACGGAGGAAAAGCAGAACGGGACTTCCCTGGAAAGAGATGACTCACTGGCCTTAGCTGGTAAGAAACTAAAGCTGTGAGAACTTAAAATAAAATCCCTTCTGAGCATGGAGCGGCGCGAAGCTCTAGGAAGCGGCTTAATGCTGGTGAGAGAGTTGGGCGCACATAGTCCTCTGCAAGTCTCCTCTCTGCGACTCTTGGGGCAGGGGCGAGGGGACAGCTTCGACCCAGAGCGCCCACGTGGCCCGACTTCCATCTAAGGTCCTACTCTGGCTATTGTTGGCTTTTGTAGTTTCCCCTTTAAACTTTCCCCTCCTTATTACCGACTCCCCCCGCACATCGGGCGCCACAGGGCAGCCCTGGCAGGAGCTGACTGGTGCTGACAGGCGAGGGGTGCGTGCCCTGCGGCCTCCGCACTTGGCTGCTGAGCCCAGGAGGAGCGGGGCTGGCCCAAGGCTCTCTCGTGCCTGGGCCTCTGCCCTCCACTGTGTCCGGCAGCTCATGACAACTCTGTGCTATTGGGTATTATTCAGTGTGACTCCTCAGAGGTGTTAACATGCCTGTATCCTCGGGGACCTCATGGTGAGGTGACTGAGATGATTGCACATGACCTGTCGTCCTCCACAGCGACCTCCTGCCAGTGCTGTGGCAGCTTGGGACTTGTTCACTGGTTTCAGGAAGGGTGACAAGCACCACAGTGAGCACCAAGCATGTTGTTGAGTCACAGGGTGTCGACACCCACAAGTTCTAGCTTGTGGATTGAGTACCAAACAACCGACAGGCCCAGGGACAAACCCTTGGCATGCAAATGCACCAGCACCACAGTCGACTGGCTCCGAAGCAGTCACTTGCCAAGGCCTAACTAGAAAAAGAACAAACCTGGCCTTTGTCCTCCAGCTGTCTGTGCTCCTTAAGAAGCTGCTCCACGTGTACCACGCTGTCTCCGATGGCTGTCAACTCTGCTTGCTCTTCCAGCAGATGGTCCAAGGTGAGCTTCACCTACGAGACATGTTAGAACCCTTGTCAGCCGCAGGTGCCCAACTATGAGGACAGGCTGGGTGTGCCCCGGAAAACTCGAAACTCCATCTGGGATCAGGACTCGTGTGTGTCCACATATTTCCTTCCTTCCTTCCTTCCTTCCTTCCTTCCTTCCTTCCTTCCTTCCT